GTTAAGTTTATTGCACCAGTCTGGCTCTGCAAAGACACAAGAAATCAATGCTCTTATGAAGCTGACTTCAAATAAACAATCTACAAATCCAGGGCCATAAAATTTCCTTCCTCCCTGGAAGTGATCCTGGGAGTCTGGGGTGCTCCATATTACCAGGTGCTCGTGCACGTCTCTGAGAACTCCACTGGCTGGTGAGAGTGACACATCAGCAGGCCACAACCTCATCCTGCAAAGCCAGTGGAGCACCAGCTGTGCCCTCAGAAATGGCACAAAGCAGGAGAATTTCTTGAAGTATCTCATGAATTTGCATAGTAAGGCAACAGCAAAATATATGTAATAGACTTTTTGCTGTTTCACATATAAGCTTTGCTAGAAAATAACAACTTGGACAACATAAATGTCATTAATATATATTTGAGGTGAAATACTTATCTGTTTCAATCAGTGTTTTGAACATGTATTTTATTATTTAGCATGGGATAGAGAGAATCATCTCATCATGTCAGTAAGCCAGGCTGGCCAAGGTTAACACAATATCAATGACTTTGATAGAAATCAATCTATTCCACCCTCATTTTCATATGTAGCATGACAAACGTGCTTTGGAAAGGGAGACAATCCAATTCAACCAAACCAGGAGTTCAACCATGGAATAAAGAAGGATGGAGAGCAGAGAATCTCTGAGTACTATTAAGGCTGTTGTGGTCCATGGGCAATAAATTAGTTTGGAAACTACAGCCTGCTGTCAGGGCCAGTGATGAGGGAGATTTCATTCACCAAATAGAAAAACTCTAGGAAAAATACATGAGCCAAAATATCTCAACAAATGAATGAAGTCCCTGAAAGAGAGCACTGTCTCACAAAAATCACTTTGGGGAACAGAATTCTGGCAACACTATGATGAAACTTGTTTCTTGAATATAAGATTACACTGTCATGTCTGTGTTAAAATCAATGGGGAAGAATAATAGAAAATTTCAAGATATTCTATGAAGCTCTAAATATCAGTTTTTCAAGAACATGAGAATGATTTTCAAGAGATATTATCTCTCAGATACTTAGATGGTCTCTGGAACTTAGATGTAACAAGTGTGTTCTACATACCCGCTCAAAAGCCTGCTTGATTTCTGTATTTCCCCCAGTAGAGATCCCAGAGCTATTCCGTTACTTTTTCTAGCAGCCTAACCTTTATAATAACTCCAATGGGAGAAATGCTGCCAAAGAATAAAGTAATTTTGCAACTCTAAAGCTTTATAAATTTGGATTTAGGAAAGGAAGGGCTGGAAGACAACACACATCACAGTCCTGGGCCCCAATTCATTTTCACCCCTTCGTATTTGCTGTTCTAGGTCATTAAGCTGGAATAGCAGCCAAAGACTCTTCACAGCAGGTTTTAAGGCCACCAGATCTGTTTCCATGGCTTTTATCTAGCACAGCCTGGTGTTCCCCTCCTATCACTGCTTAGTAATCCAAATCTGAGCCGTTTGTATGACTGCTCTGTCCAGAGCTCTCTTGCAAACTTTCAAAAAACCTGGCAATCTTTTCAAGCATCTTTTAAAATTTTCATTCAAGAAAGAAATTTCAGCCTCAAAGACTGACCATTAGAATTAGCAAATCATTAACATATGGGAAATACATTAATGGTATCAACTTCTGATATAAGGAGGAATATATTTATACAAAACCAGGGCATGAATGACATTAACCCCCCCCCAAAACAAACAAACAAAAAACAAACAAACAAACAAAACTCCTCAAGAATCTGGCTAATAAATGGCCAGGTAGTTTCTTCTAAGTCCAGTAGAAAATTCAAACTTCTGGAGACAGACCTGACCTATGGAGAAGCAGAGCTCTTACACCATGATGTATAGCTCCTTAGAAAACAAAGAGAGTGCTGTGCTAGCCAGGGTGCATGCCCAGGCATTTGGGGGATTGGTGGAGCAGCAGGGCAGAAGGGAAGCAGCATTTGCTTCAAGGCTAAAACCTCATCGACCTCCCTTGGGAGGGTGACAGGACCTCAGTGTTTGACTATTTTCCCTGATGTTTTTAAATGTCCAGTGTCAGGTTTATTTCGCCCAGAGCTCATTTGAATAGGCACTATGAGTTAAAATTTGTTCAAAGGCAGATGATACAGTCATTATAAAATATCCTCCCTTAGTCATCTTAATGGCTGGTCAGGAATTAGTTGAATACCTGTGCAAATATGTACATTTCTGCATGAGTACAATTTTATATGTGCATGCCAAACTCAGGCTAAACGCACATGGGACTATACATACACTGTATGCTGCTCTTCCTGCACATGTGTACACTCATACCACAAGTGTCTGTTTTTTGCCTATTAAACAGGCCTCTCCTCGCTTTTTTTCCCACAGTCCTAGGCTCACCTAAAACTAAAGTTATAAACACAATTTTTGTATTCCCTTTTAATATTACAAGTCTCTTTCACTTAATGGGTTCTCTATCAGTACTGAAGGAGATGAAAACCAAAGCACATTTCAAGCACACAGGCAGTGTAATTCTGCAGTAGCTACACTTATCTGCCTGAATGAATACCTCTTGATGCAATACTCACAACTAAGTTTAGACAGGAACCCTTATCTGGATTTTAAGGGAGACTTTAATTTCATTAGCTCTCAACTTACACCTTTTTGTATCTTTCAAAGCGAGTATAATTTCCCCATGCTTGGCAAGTATCCAAAATCAATTTAAAGCATTTATGATCATTTTGAACTTTACTGTCTTAATGATTCCCTACACAGAATTTAGAGATTCCCATTTTCAAAAACTGCATCATTAGTAATTTTATTTTCCTTGTATGATCTTTCTGCCCATCCTGGATACACATCATGCCTTATTTCTCACTAATAATTTGTTCAGTCTTGAGAGGACACATAAAAATGTCAAGATTTCCATACAACAAAACTCAAACAGTTGCAAAATTTATAAAGCTTCTATGAACCAGCTGATGGGTCATACACATAGTGTAATTATACCATTTCTAAGTGTAGAAAACCCGTCAGGATCAGGACACCATGGAATATATCTTAGAGAAAACAGATAATAGGGATGCCTGTACAGTAGACTATATGTTATCTGAATTCACCACCATAAAGGAAGAGCTCAGAAAAGCATAGAGAACTATTAGACTATAGGAATGGAACTAGGTAAAGAAAGTTGGCATATACAATACGGGAAGAAGCAGTATAAAATCCTATAGAAGCAGTCTGAAGAAAAATGAAAGAAGGTGTAATTAAAAGATAATGTATAAAACCAGCCTAACAATTATTAAGGACCAACCAGTTATCCTGGGAATTTTATAAAGGACTGCTCAGAAATCCTCTGAAATTACCACTAAAGCTGAAGTACCCAACTTAAATATCATTTAATGAAACAGGTAAAGGAGAGAAGGAACAAAATGGTAGGAGTGAATAAAACAAAAAAAAATTACAACATAACAGCAGTGACATAGTTACCAGGAAGAGAAAGAGGCTGCACTGAGAATATAGAAGGCATTTATATATCAGCAATGAGTAAAAAGGCCTGACATACCAAATCCCTCCTGACTTTTAAGAACCACCACCAGCACAAGAACTGCTTCCTAAAATAAAGGTCCTGTAAAAATAGCTACTGACAACGTGAAAGTGCATCTTCAAGCGTCAAAAGAGCTAATAAGCAGGCTGGATGCGAGGAACCTGGGACTTACTGCTAGGTGGCAGGCATAATGTGTAAATTAGTCTGGAGTTGTGCGTTCTGCTTTGGTAACAAATCAAACCTTTGATAAACACCGAGAGCAGTGATAGCAAAGCAATTATAACCATTCTGAGATGGTTTATATATATATAAAGAGGAAAAGAGCTACACACAAGCAGCTCAGCTGAAAACTGAATAAGGCTTCTGGGCTTTTTCCATAGCACATGTGAGAGAGTCTCCTCGCAAAGCAGACTCCGAGGCTCCTGTTTAGGCTCCTGTTCTGACCGATCCCTGCACGAGCAGGCACCTTCACTCTCTGCACAGGGAGCTCAGGGAAATGCCTCTTCCTACACTAGAATTAAAAGTATTGCGTGCCATATCCCATAATTCTGCAATGACAGAGGTGACTTCTCTATCTCTAACATCTACGAATTAGGATTCAGTGTTAAGCCCCATTTTTAATACCTTCAAAAATGATCTAAAGAAACAAAAAAACCAAGTACCTGAACCACATCTACAGGCAAATCAAACAAATAATTTGAAATAATTAGGAAGGTGCAAAGTCAAAAGGTTTGACTCAATCTCTAAGAATCTATCATAAAATTATTTTCATTTACTATTCTAATAGAAAATTTCCTGCACATAATCTCAGCCAAAAAGCTGACATTTGGTGAACTGTAGGCACATAGTATTTGATTATTTTTGTCTAGAGGAAGGCAAGAAAAAAACAGTGTTTTTGCTTGGCTTTTGTTGTTTCTGCATTGCTGTGGTTTGCCTATTTTGTCCATTCAAAATATAAATACATGATTATTGCTTAGCAACAAGTAAATATATCAACTTATCTATGATGTATGCTTTTTTCCCCATAGAGCTGGGGAATATGTATTTTTTCATATATCTTTAGTTTAAATACTAATAATCACAAATTCTTTCCTTTGCCTTTCACTACTAACCCCACCAGCCTTTGGCACTGCAAGACTGAAGCAGCCTTCGTGCAGAAGGTAAACGCTCTGTTGCAACACCTTTCAGCCCAAGGTATTATTAGGAACACAGGAAAAGAATTAAGGCAGGGCCTCAGACCCCCTCTCATGGTTTATGTGACTGTGCATAAATATCTCCCTGTGCATTACTCTCTTCTTGCCACTTACCTTCACAGAAAGAATGACAGGGCAATCTTTTCAGTGTGATTTTAATGCTAGTGCTTCACCCCCAAAATTCTGTATCAAGGAGTTTCATTTTTCAATACAGCCAACAACTAGAATGATCGGATCTGGGTTTCTCCAAATGTCACGCAAACTGCTACTTACAATCCGAGGTTTGAAGGGGGGCTTGATTTTCCTTTGCTCCAGAAGAACCCAGTCAATTTCCTTGAAAAACGGATGCTGCTTGATCGCATCTTCCCCGTTCTGTGACGCCACGCAGCCAAGCCGCTTGTTGGGGTTTTTTGTCATGAACTGAGGGGAGGGAGGGAGAGGAGGAAAAAGTTACAAAACGTTAATGACAACGGTTGGAAACCACCTTGTTGTTCAACCACCTATTCCTCAGAGACAGCCCTGTGCAGAAGTTCATTCTTCTGTGTGTGCAACAAGGACCCTCTCTGCATTACAGAAGTTCTAGTCAACCTAAAAAATTCAAGGACTCTGACGTGTTATTTTCTGCAGAAAACATTTCCAGATGATTTCCAACACCTCCTAATTTCATCTGGCTGGGAGTACTGCAAGAACAGTTTCCCTTTCAGCATTTCTATGTCCAATTTCGGCCAAAATACTGAGAGTGAGAAAATATTGTCCCCCTATAGACAGCTTAAAAGATGGTCAGGATCTTATTTTATTTCCTCTTTCTATTTTTATTTATTTTATCCTCTATTATTTTATCTCCAAATGCTGTACAACTTTTGCAATGCATTGACATCAAATCATGGCAGCTAAGCATATTAATTATGATTTTCATCCGTTATGTTTTCTTTCTCTTACTAGCAATTGCTCTACCTATTTCCTAAAGAATTTCTGCACAGAAACCTTAAGATAGTTAGATCAATTATCCACAGGGGATATTTTGCTATCACTGTAAAGGCATAACATAGATCAGCCAGGCAGCAATTTATGGTCCCTGAAACACGTGCCTCCCCAAAGACAACCCTTTCTGCTTGGGCTTGTGTTCAACACGAGCTCCTTTGCAAGTGGACATATTTTCTAAGGGCAATAGAAACAAAAGTTTTGAGGGGATTACTGTGCTTTGGTGAGGTCTCCTAGAAAACCACAAAATGCATTCCTATGTTCTTCTGCTTTATTTCACCTCCAGGAGTCTGTAGTGACTGGGAGAGAGCAGGCCAGGGAGCAGCAGCCATGTGCTGTGGAAGAACAGAGCATGGAAACTGCAGGATCTGCTACTGAACTATATAATCCCGGTATCAAAGAAGCAAAATCTGATCAACAATCTGTCATGCCCTATTTTTGTATAGGTGGAAGCAGGGAAAATACTAGAACATGTCATCCTTAAGAACTAGTATGAAAATGCTGCTAGGCATTCCACTTCAGTTCTGCACTTCTCAACTTTCATGAAAGTTGGACACGGATAATGGGAGGGAGAACAAGTTTTAAGAATTAATAATTAAAGCAAGCAGACAGAAAGAAAAATTCCAAAGTGGGCATTTAGCCCTATAAATTAAATTCTCTGCCACAAATTTTAGCCTTTTCACCTTTTATTTCCCCTTGTGAGGCAGAAGTTGACACAGGTTGCTTATTCCCTTGTTTACTAACAGCTTCTGCGCTGTTGCAACAGTCACTGCACCGACCGTTGCTACCTGTCCTGCGGGGATGAGATGGCTGCCGGTGGGGCCGACAGCCATAGCCGTAACAGCTGCCATTTTATTTTCCTACATGAACGCAGGGGTTCCCTTACTAAAGGATCCAAATACTTTCACGGGCAGCGCTCCCATGGCCGCACAGGCCAACAGGTCCAAGTGTTGCTGATGTAGCCCTGCGGCATGGGGCACCAGGCTCCTGAAACTCTGCTTCGCGGCCTAGGAAGAGCGCGCGGCCTCTGCCCACCGGGGGACCCGGGCCACATGGCGCAGGGGGAACACGCGCTGTGGTAGCGGGCACGGCCTCTGTCCATCACGGGCAACGAAGCCCCGAGCTGGGCACAGCCCACTTCTCCCTGCAATCCCAGTATCCGACTTTCCTCTATTGTCAGCAGTAAGTATTCCAGTTTCAATGCAGGATTGTTTTCCTAACAAGGCAGGAAGAATTTTAAATAGCAATTCCTGTCAATTCACAGGAACAGGACTAATAAGATTTGTGGGATTTCATGGGATAAGCCTTGCAATAGTGAGCTGTACAATTATCCCCAGAAGTATTTTCTTAGAAATAATGAGTGAAATGCTTCTTGGGAGAATAAAAACCATTGTTACTCAATACAAGTGAATGTCATGTTATTAAGCTTTCCTTACATGCCATTTGGAGCAGTGCAAAAATACAGTTTCTAAAGAATCAAATCCATATCTCAAAGCACAATGTGAGGAAACAAAGTGTTCCAAAGCTAATTCCTTGCTAGCATTCAGTGGTAAAACACACAGACGCTCGCTCTTTCCTCCCTTTTTCCTGTTCTTCTTGGAATAGAATGTAGGCAAAGGTGAGGTGAAGAGCACAGGTTTCAGACTCGTTTCACACCCTAGCTGTATAGGCAGCAGGTTACTAATTGCAAGGGAATTCTTTCTTTATATGATGTAATCTGGCACAGCTCCATTCATTTCTATATAATTTATGCTATGCAAGGCATCTTGCCCAATGAGGCATCTCTTCTTAGAGTACAAATCTATTCAATGGATGCAGCTCTTTTTTTAAGGTTTAAGATGGCATTAAGGAATGAATCCAGCTAGAAAGTGTTAAAAATGGACTAAGCTAGAATATAAATAGCATACTATTATCAAAAAGTAGAGCTAGGGAAAACAATCTCATGAAAATCAAATTAAATGTTTACATTAACGTCAGGCTTAAAAGAAACTAGCGTTCAATGCCCTTTTACTCACATTCACAAAAATAGCATTTAGACACGCAGCCCAATTCTGTGTCTGCATCTGTGTGGCTAAGGACAGGTATAACATCAGTAGTTAGACCTCCCACAACTTGCCACCACTGAGGCACACGGGGCAGCTATTAAATCTTTTTCTCCACTTCCTCTGTGAAATAGTTATCTTTTCCCAGTCCATGCCATGGCTCTGCCACTACACATTTTATCAGGGGTTATCAGCTAACTTTTCCCCTCCAAGCAACGTTTCCATCATTCAGAACAATAGATAGCTCAGCTAATCTAGATTCCCAGAAAGAAGTCTGTGCATGGGAAGTCAAAGAAAGAGATCATGTAGAGACTGAAACCAAAATGCCATACAGAAAATCTCTGGAATTTTAGTGAAGTTTAGATGTAAAAGGTGCCCGGTGACACAAGCCACCTGAGTAAAATAATTGCTGCTGCGGTGGCAAACATTTCTATCTGTCACTCATCCTATTTAAAGCCACCAACGAGGGCAGAACCAGTTACCCTGGAGGATGGCTGCTTATGAAGTCGTTACGTGAAGGAAGTAGAGCGAGCAGCAGCTTTCAGCGGTGTAGGCTTTCAGAAGAGCTCGATCACGGGGAAAAAGGCTAGGAGGATGGTCCTTTCCATAAGCGGATTAGCTGAGCACACTGACACTGTTTCTTTAATGCTTCCCCCCGCTCGCAGTGGCTGAAGTGTCCCAGTGATAGCGCGGCTCTGCCGCTTGGGTTTTCCCTGAAACATGAGTCTGCGGCGCGCAGCTTTGTGCAGCGCGCAACTGCCTGGAATACAAACATCTTGTTCCTTTCCCACAAGCAGCGTAATTTATCCCAGGCCCCATTCTCCTCACGGTGGCTCTCTGAACTGAGCTTGAACTCCCAGCGGTGGCTGTTCTCAACGACTTTAGGCAAATTCAATTTTGATCAAAAAGAACAAACAACAACATCAACAGCAAAATGAAAAACAGGAGGAGGAGGAAGAGGCAAACAAGCAATTGAAGACTCACGGCTTTTAAAATGCTGACGGCTTCTTTACTGAGCCAGACAGGATACAAGACGTCGTCGTGAAGGATGGATTCAAAGAGATCGTCTTCGTTGTCAGCCTCGAAGGGGGGCTGCCCAGCCATCATTTCGTACATGAGAACGCCCAGAGCCCACCAGTCCACTGACGGGCCGTATTCCAACTCCTGGAGGATCTGGTGGAGAACAGGAGATCGAGCAACTCAGAAAACACTCTCAGCTGCCCGTTTACTCTTTTAACATGAACACAGCCCGTCTCCTGCTAACTAAACGTCCCCTGCTAACAGAGCTCAGTGCTCACATGTAGTTCTCAAAAGCACTGAGTTTACCAGTCCCTTGAGTAAAAGAGCATATTCACAAGCAAGAGCTGTATATCATTCCCAACTGTTTATAAGATGCCATGCTATAAGAGGAAAAAATTCCCTATACAAAACAGATTGGTGGAAAATGTGAAATGTGAAAAACTCATCGTCCCTTCTTGAGCAAAACAAACCACATCAGTTTGTACTGCTGCCCAGAGATCATCACAGAGATTTATACTTGTCCTTCAGGTAGGACTGAAGAAGCCAAATGCATCTTTGCTGAAATCCTATTTACAGCATTAAAACACTGCATGTTACAGGGCTGTAGAATTTACTTTAATTGCCTTTGCTTTCAGAAAAAAAAAAATGGCTGTAACCTTTCATGTGGCAAAAGATCAACCTTGTAGTGAACACCTTTAGTGGGGAGTAGTCGTGTAGCATGACGGATTATTATTGTATTATCTTGGGTTCCACAACTATCGCTGCACAAGGAGCAAGGTTCATTCTTGGCTCCTCTCCCCTGAAAAGCAGCTTGCAGTTTGGCTGCAGTGTTTCAGCATGACATGGGACTGGGGATAAAAGAGTTGGCGACTGTAGAAGGTGAAGCTGAATGGCGTAAATGATCTGGGATGGCAACCACCACCTGGACCTCTTACACAGCATTAGTATGACTGGCAGAATCCGCATGGGGAAGTGTGTTTCTTCAGGACTATTTTGGGGGATCACAATTGTGCTGTATATATAAAACCAAATGCAGTCTTAACATAAAAGCAGAAATGAGTTTTACTTTTGAATCCAGATGCTTGGATCCCAAGTAGATTCTTAGGTGAGTAGATATTGAACTTTACAGAAATTATTAACAGAAATTATTAATAGAAATTAATACTCTTAAAATCTGGACTTTTCCACTGTTCCAGGTATTTTTTGGAACTCTGATTTTGGAAAAGAAAAGTAAATTGAAAGAAACAAGCACGATGCAAATAGAGGCAAGAGATAAGGTTGCTGCAACTAAAATAACAAAAGGGAAGCTTAAGTTACTGACTCCATGAAAAAGTTCCTGGAACCTTACAAGTGCTTGATTTTCAGTAATAATTTTTAAAGGAGTCATCAGTTTTTTAAAGGAATCATCAAAGGACTCAACTCTCAGACAGGATCAGAAAACAATCCTACAAAAATAAAATCATCACATTTGCCTTTTTTTTTTTTATTGCCAGAGGTCTTCTCAAGTCTATAAAACACTCGTTCATGGCTACTATGAGTTTCAAGATGATTCACACCTCAGCCCTTCTGCTACTGAGCTTGACAAATGCTAGCAATGTGAATTTCATACCTATCATCTCTAGCAAATAATAAACCAACATTTTTTACTCACTGCAAGTTTCTGGTTGATGAAACACAAGCCAGTGAAACTTTGCACTGAATATTTGGCAAAAAGATTAATAACAAAACTCAACAGATAAAGTCTGTCCAGAAAACAGTCTAACAAGATGATGTTGACTCATCAAAATTAAGGATATGTAAAAAACCAACACAAATATGTGCCAATTCTTTTCTTCATCCAGAAAACTGCTTTAAATCAACATGCATGTTGCCAAGTGATATGCAACTTCCATATGAAAAGCTCCTGTTTTTCTATGTAGGAGTCTGCATTTTCTACTCATCCATATGAATGACAATACCACAAAAATAGTATCTTCTACTCACAAGTACTTTAAAGAAAGGACACAAGGATATTCCCACAAAGATCTAATGCAAAATGGTACCAAATTATGCTTCCTAGCATCAGAATATCACCTTTTAGGTCTCACTAAAAAATAAAAAAACTTTCGTATCTATTAAAGATCACTGTTGGTAGTACATCTAGCACTTTAGCAGCTATTAAGCGCTTTCAGAGGGATGCTGCATCAGAAATAAGAATATGCAGAAGCATACTGCTAGGCTCAGGGAAGAGATAACAGAAAAATCGTATTTGGTCACTCCTACTCGCACTGAATGTTGTTTGCACCATCCAAAGCAACAGATTTCTGCAAGATTACATAGGAATGTATAATCTAATTTCATTTACTTGTAAAAAAGGTCTAAAACAACATGTTGTATTCCTAGTGCAGTGTGAAAAGTACCTCTGGAGCTATGTAGTCAGGCGTGCCACAGAAGGTTGTGGTTGTCACTCCGTTCAGAATCCCTTCCTTGCACATTCCAAAGTCAGCCAGCTTGCAGTGCCCTTCAGCATCCAGAAGAATATTGTCCAGTTTCAGGTCCCTGTAATAAAAAGGTCTCAAATTAAATCACCTTTCCAGTTTTAAACATGTGCTCCTACATTTGTTCACAAATTATACAGAAAATGGTAACTAGGTGGTTTCACAGGCACCATTTTTGCAGTCCTCCTTTCCATGTGTGCCTGAAAAGCTGGCAGTATTCACCAAGCAGGCCTAGTTAGAGCCAACAAGGAAGCAGGCAATGACAAGTACTTTGCAAGACCTGGCCTTTATTCTTTCCTTAGCAACATGATTAGCACAGTTGCTTTTAACACAACACCAGAAATGTATGGAAAAGCTTCAGCCTCTTTCACTTGCTGCATATCTCAAATTTTGTATATGTGAATATGATGAAGCCACTCTTTGTTTTTTGCATTAGTACAGAGTACCAAATTATTGATTACATAGGTTGAATTAATAGTTACTTTTTAACTTGGATTATTTTGGATTGGATTCCTGAAGTTTACTCATAATGCAAAATTCTGATTGCAGTGAGAGGGCTGAAGGACAATACTCCCATCTTTGCAAGTATAATTATTTTCCTCAGTTCAAAAGCGGCTGGGAAATACTCTCAGAGGAGTATTTTGCATTCATTGTTAAACAACACAGCTTAGCAGCTGTCTCTGATCACCCTCTACAAATGCGTTCCTGAGAAAATACACAATTCTTCGGTTATTAAATTGGGTGAGGTCAAAAACAGGTTGAGAAAGGGATATCCACCTTTCCTGTCTTGCCCTCTGCACATTCTCTAAATATACCACTGATGGTTATCTCACCAGCCGACACAATGGATGTTTGGTACCGTTTAATTTACCTGCCACTTGCCTTAGACTAAGCTAAGAAAGGTTCTGGAAAGTGCATGAAGTAACCTCTCAGTTGCAGTAAAAATAAATAAAAAATCACACACATTCAAAGAAGAAGTAATAATGTTTAATGATAAAAAAACAAAACAGACTGATCAATAGAAATATTGCATGGCTTATTTTATTTTTATAAAGAGCCTCTCCCAAGAGCCTCTGTAGCATATACCTGAACACCTAAGGAGGTATATTGCATGGCTTATTTTATTTTTATACTTCTGTGCAGGCTCCCAAGTGCCTCTGTAGCGTATACCTGAACACCTAAGGAGGGGAGAGCCAAAAGCACAACCTATGTCCTTTCCGGACTCCAAGTGTGGATACTTGCTTGGAACTTAGCTCCTAGCACTCTTAGAGAAGCTTCCATAGATGGAATCAATCAGAAGTAGCTTTGCAGAGAAGCTCTAGGTCTGACTGAGTAATAAAATCCCATGCCAGCCGCTGTGATCAAATCTTCCCCAAAGGCTTACAGAAAGACACAGGTTTTGTTGCAAAAGTCCTTAATGCCAGCAAATGCCACCTGAGTGAGGAGTGAGAAGCCTTCATCTTACCCTAAGGATACGTTTTGGAGAAGTGCCTCCCTGCCAACACCCAGTCTGTAGAATCAAGGTCGGCGTAGCACAGTGGAAGCTGTCAGACACATGAAATGATTTAACGGCCCTGCAAAAGTTGCATTATGTTGGAATTTCCCTGGACATGTCCAGGGCAACAGTATGCTTGGATTTCCCTGGACACGTTCATTTTCTTCCCTGGTTTTACCTGGGAGCATTATTTTTTTTATTTTGACCTATGTTGAAGACTTTCAGACGTGCCGGCTGACGACCTGAATCTAGCATGCATTTCTCACAGGGCAGCATAAAAATCCAATATTTCTGGGACGCACTGGGCTTACTACTCAGATGCTGCATAATCATTGCACATCTGGGCAGCAAATCAGACATTTCTGGGAAGCACTGGATGACTTATTGTGCATGTAGAAATCAATTGTGCAGTATACACATTACAAAGAAACTTGTGCATGTGCAAGAAGCCTGTCATAGTCCAGCAAAGCCAGATTTACCTCACTTACAGTAAATCTACTGGCTCCCACAGATACAAGTCTTATCAGATATGGGTTATGTGGCTGAAATCCATACCAGTCACAGAAATGTTCCTTGCAACTGATATGCCCTACGCCAGACCTTCCCATCTCCAGATCAGTTACACTGCTCCTGTAGGTCCTCAGTTGATTACCCACATTAAGGTCCCTTGGGGGCAGACTACATATTTTAACACTCTTTAAAGTCATCCTTTTTTACCAGCTCCTACACACAACCCCTATCTGACTGGATACAACATAAACCCCTATATCTAACCATTTAACCAAAGAATCATCTCTGCACATGTCAGGAGAGGGATTTACAGGATGACAGCTATCACACAGCTATCTGTGCATCACAGAAGTCAAATAAACAAAGTGAAACTCCTAGCTCCAAAAATCATGCCCCAAATTTCTCCCCCAGTGAATCATAATTGTTACAATCAAAAGACATGTTTTAAGACAAGTCTATGACTTCA